AATAGGTGCTCGCTAACAGCACTCATGAAAAGCAGTCTTAATGCGTATATTTGTGTTTTGATTTCATTTTCTTGCACTGGTGTACCCATTCGTGCTTTGAGTGACAGACTTTTGGCAAACACTCATACCTGATGATGATTATACCATGTGTGCATGTGTCCTTCAAAAGGACGGAGAGATTGGCCAACCGTTTTGTCTGTGCAACAACGTGCGGCGACTCTCTGCCAAAAAATCCCGATGAGCACAACGTCCTGAACTGCATCAGTGAGCCCAGCAAAAAGTAAATTTTCTGCATTTATGAACATTGCTTGTCTGACTGATTCAGCAAAGATCTAATTATGAAAAAGGGATGGAAGCCAATAGCCTCCTCCTTAATATGCGTGTGCGCGCGTAGATGTGTGTGCGTACAAGCGTGTGGCTCGGGAGCGGTGATAGTGGTTGGTGTACCGCACTGTGAACCTGGCAATTATAAGTTTGATTCCAAGCCATTGCTAACATCAAGTGGTGAATGATGTAAGGATCAGTCTTTGGGCTCTCTTGGATGGACTCAGTCTTAAATGAATACCTGATGCAATGTGTAAACATCAGCAATGGGGGGATTAATGTGGTTAGGCTTTGGCCACACCATCCCCACATGTGCCATGCCAGTCTTACGAGAAACTCACAAACAGCACTTGCCTCAACAATCTGTAAAGCTATTTCAATGATATTTATCTTTTCTGTGAGTGAATCTAAAGAACAATGTAATATCCACTACAAAACAGTTTTATGAACCTGATGTTCAATACCTGTTCATCAACAACAACCAGATAAAATAGTTTTTGGGGCCTGTCCCAAGCCTCTGTCAGAAAGTAATTCAACCGGAGTGGTAATCACTAGCGCTGGGGAGGCAAAGGGCAGGGTGGGAGTGGTTCTGGCCACACCAGCTACTCCTAATCCGTGTAGGCCTTGGTAGGCGCCCACTTACAGCCCTTACCCCAAAAGTATGTTAGAGGCAACGCGTGAGTATATGAATATACAAGTTGAAACAAAGTAAGTTTTATTTCTACCGATTTAAAAATAAACCCAAAACACTCGTCTTGAGAAATGGCCTTAATCCAGGAGTGCATTGGGAAACAACGGCATGTGGGATGTCTGGACATTCCCTATTCTAATAGGGTTTTTCCCCTTTTTTCTGACAATAAAACTGAAACCTTTTTACAAGGAATCATGTCTGCATTAACCACAATACTTGCAGTCAAAATGCAAAAAACACATTCTGATAATATATGCATTGCCCTTGAAACTGATTGGTCCACACCAGACAACTTTTGGTACTGGCAAAGGAGGTCTAATGATGTAGATGCTTACCCCGAGCCCTCGTTACTTTGATAGTGCATTGTCTTTGAGCTGTACGCCTTTTGGCGTCATCTGGTCGAGCACCAATTGAGACGAGGCTCAAAAGAAAGCTGTCTCTGGTGTGGACCAATCAGTTTCAAGGACAATGCATATTTTATCAGAGTACGTTTATGTTTGCATTCTGACCACAAGTATTGTGGTTTATGCACACATGAATCCTTGTAAAAAGGTTTCAGTTTTGTTGCCAGAAAAAAGGGGAAAACCCCTATTATTATATTTTGGTACTGGAAAAGGAGGTCTAATGATGTATTCCCTATTCTATTAAATGGCATATTTAAAAATACTGCCGAGTTGCCATCATGTAGAGAAGTATTCACAGAATAAGTAATTTGCTGCTGTGTTGTGTGAACTAATTCATTTGGTTTCAATTTAAGCGAAAGATTCTTCCTCGATGTAAATGGTTATAACAATCACTTGCAAACCAGAGGTTTCACCAGCACGACCGTTGAAACAATGGGGCAAGTTTCTTAACCCCTCCGCCCCCCTGCTCCCCACCTCTCCACTCAGCAGTGTATACGGTACACTAATTAGGTGATCAGCAGGTCACATGCGGTGGAGTAAAGTGTGGGTACTGCCACCTCTTCTAAGACGTTTGGCCAGCATTGAATAGTAGCCTAAAAGACCCGGTGGAGAGAGGGGGTCTCACTTCTGGTCTAACCATAATCCTGACTTCAATTGGCTGGTGCCTGGAATGATTTGGGCTGTGAGGCAGCACGGCTCCAGGGAAAGTCCAATGGGAATATGCAGAGTCACCCCCGAAAGCCTGCTTCAAGGTGCTTCACGTCTCACCTGCTGCACCCATAAAGGAGACCGCCCCGCCCCCAACCCCCCGATACTCAAATCTCTGCACTCGCTCCCGATTCAGCTCCACGTCAACAAGGCTGCCCTCACCGTCTCCAAGACCCTCCATGGACTCGCCCCTGCCGAGCTCTCCGCTCTCATCTCAATCTACCCCCTTTCATGCGCTCGCCACTCGAGCAACCAAGGCCTTCTGTCAAAGCCTCCAATCAACCTTTCATCTGTGGGAGATTGCTCTTTCTCCCCTAGCCATCTGTGTTGTCAATTCCCTGCCCCTGTTAAAGTCCACGCTTAAAACCTTCTCATCTCAGCTGCATTTGAGTGACCGTCTCTTCTAAAAAGAAACCAGGGTAGTGTAATATATCCCTCTATTCTCATGATGCATATGTCCCATTATTTTGTACAGTACATTCAAATGTGGTTGCATTTATCATCTCTATAATCCACATTGTATTCTATCAGTGTTTTCTCCAAAACGTATAATTATAATCAGCTTTCAAGCGCCCATGCGCCAACACGAGGTATATTCCCGAGATGTGACACACTGCCGTTGCTTTAGCACTGGGAGGGTGGCAGGGTGGAGCAGTAGTGATACTCGTGCCTCAAAACAAGAAAGACCTGGGTTCGATTCCTGACTTGGACGTTTTTATATTCTCAACTTCCTCTGAATGGATTTCTCCAATATCCTCCCATAGCTAAACAAACGATGTCACTGGTATTGGCCAAACATGCTAAAAAATACCTGCAATTACTCAGTCGGGATTACACACGATTGCCCGCCTACTATGAAAACATGGCAGGACTCTCCTGGAATGAGTCTTGATTGAGTATTGATGTTCAAAGAGCCTTTCATAGGAAAACAATCAAAATCATAACAAAAATAAACCTATTCCAAATAAACTGAAGTTAAACAACAAATATCAGGATGTGCTGACCTTGCCGAAAGGAACGAGAAACAGCATTTATAGCGATCGACTTTGGAAGCATAACTCGGTTGCCATCGTTGATATTGAAGAATCGGGATGAGTTGTTTTCCTTCATGCTTATGAATTCCTTAATGTAGTTTTCATAATATTAAGTACTGCATATGTAATGTTTCTGTGTGTTGTGCCTGCCTTTGATGGTTTTACTTGTGAAATATTGTCTGTGCTTTGAGAACTGTAATTAATGATAGAGACATTGCAAACATAAAGATGATGAGGCTGATGAAAGGTAGAAATATGTAAAGTATGCATGTTAAAACAACTTACAAGTACTAAGTTACATTGGTACTTTAGGCCAGCCTAAAAGCATGTAATGGTTACAACAGTATTCATGGAAAATGTTGGATACCTTGCACACATCTAGAGATTATATAATAATTGTAAAATAATAAACAAAAATGTGAGTTGTCAGAATCATCACAAAAATAAAAAATAAACTATTATTCCTTTGACTAATAGGCATTGCAAACCAATGTTAGCAAATAGCAATTGTTTAATTGGTTTTGATCTGTCCCAGGCTCATCAGCAGGTTGTGACCTATCAAAGAGATTATACCGGACAGCCTCGCCTGATATTATCACAAACAAGCATCTACAAGCACAGGTGTGGATTGCATTGACCCATGAGTCGTCCAGGCTTGAATTAAAACTTATGTTCCTATTGATGGAAACTGGTCTACTGCACCAACGGAGCTGTGTGTGTCATTTCTACAATGTCTAAATATTTTGATATCTATCCTAGCTGCGTAAAAAAGGATTGCTTAATGATCACAGTTGGTCTCCATGTGCTATGGGTGGTGAAATGTGATACAGTAAAATGGGCTTCCATGCTGATTCTAGTCATGTGACTTACACATCTACTGACCATAGCCACCTCCTGTTAAAAGCAGGCTTGCTGCAACAGAGATTCCCTGAACATTGATGAGAGCTGCAAAGTTGCTACAGAACAGTGCTGAAACACATTGTGCTGACACAGTAAAGCTACCAGGCTGTTAGGCCTAATTGCTGTTGAGACCCAGACGTTTGAAACCGATCAAGAGCTTGACTAGAAGTCCAGTCGACCAAAGACAGAACATATTTTATTTTTATAAGAAGCTCCAGAATATAACTTGATTTATGCGTGTTTTCACCTTGAATAATCCACTACAGTGCATAGCAGATTAAATCATCTGAGGATAACAAATATGATTATATTCCATCCATACATTCTTTCCCCATGTGTGTGAGGTCACACAAGAAACATTATTTTCATTGACGGGAATATTTCAAGCTCACGCTCTACATTTGACAGCGTTAACCCTATGCCACGTTTTCCATGTGCTTTAAACACACACACCTAACTGGCACTTTTTTGTGGAGCACACGTACAATCTTTGCTCACTTGATCAATTCACATGCACCACATGTGCCAATGCATTCTATGTGCGCATGCCCAAGCAGCTTCTCTTTGGCCAGACAGAGGGAGCGATATGGACATGGCACTGACTCGAGACAAAACGGGCCGATTTGTTTATGGGAGGCTTTGGAAATGAATTAAATTGCAGATGACTGATTAGTAGCATCAGGGTTGGCCTCTGTAGAGGAGGCTCGTGGAGGATGCTACTGGGCTGTTTGGAGGTAATTAACCCCAAGCAATAATGGAGGACAGAGGGGTGGGACTCACAACAACGAGCGGAGTTCCAGGCAGCTAAAACTAAACATAGGAAGCTCGCACAATGGGAAGTGCAGGTGGTGGTTCTACCAGTCATCTTGAGTCAAACCATAGCACCTGGGTCTGTCCCCATGACCTCCTGCGGGAGAGCCTTAAACACTTCACATTGCCTCAAAGTGCAGAGTCCGGCTCAAATTCTGTGCTGACGTCACCACTTCGTGCCGAATGGCAGCAGCAGCAGCAGCTGCTGACGTTGTAGTGCACGCCGTGCGCGTGCCGTGCATGGCTGTGTGTGTGAGGCGGCGCTGCTGCCCCGTGACGGCACCTGTAGGAGGCGGGCGGGTTGGCTCGAGCGCAGCAGTGCAGCGTGACGGTCCTGTCGGGCTGCTCCTCGAAAAACTCCGTGTCCACCGGCTGCTCTTGGAACACAGGACCCAGGGGGTGGCCCTTGTCTGCCATGGCAGGATGGAGCAAGGGACAGAGACAGACAGAACAAGCGTCAAAGTGTGACTGTCAGTGGATAGGTCATTTAGATGAGGGCAGGCAGTGTTAATTTTGTCCAAATGTTTAGTTGAATCATAGTCTTAGTCTAGAACTCAGATCACCGGGCTCAAAACACTGCGACCAACCACTGCACCACCGTAGTTATATCATGTAAAACAAAAACATTGTCGTAGTATAATCATGGCCTTTATATTGCCAGTTGAGGTTCAATGGATTTCAAGAATCTTTTTCAGAATGCTCCAGAAGGCAACTAGCGAGGAAGCCGACATAGGAGGCCACCTCACAGACCTGCATGTTGTGAGTCACACACACACACAATGGCATCTGCACATCTACAAACCCTGGCTCCAAAGCACAGGATTACAACAAACCTACCCGACCACCAAACTTCATTTTTTATCAAACCATTGCAAGAGTTAATTTATAATATTGTAATGCGGATGTTAATGTTAGCCTTTTGTGATTTATATGCAGCAGGCAATGGAATGACTATTTTTCAGTTTATCATTACATTCAGTGAGGAATTGGACGAGTGCACATAGCCTTGTGAGGAGTGAAAAGGAATAAATATATGCTCCCATAAATGTTTCTAATGGTAATTGCAATGTGTTTGTTCTTATTTTAAACTACAAATGCATTCTTTGAATCGACAATCTGCAGAATAACACCATATCATTTAATTAAAAGCAGTGTTACACACCTTGGATGTTACTTTTTCTCACAAAAATATTTTTGTGGAAATTGAATAAAGGCAGGCTGACGTTAATGCAATTTTCCTATGAATGATGAAGAGGCATGCGACTTAAAACCCCCATTCTGAATATTTTATTCAATCTCCATAGCAGAATTCTGAACTCTTCCTCAGAGCAGCACTAAGCCATTTAAAATCGGGTGGTATTAAGAATGAGATTTTTACCTAATAATGACTTATATCCCTCTGTCAATCCATTGCTGGACGACGGCCTCCTCTCATGCAGGCAGTCTTGGTGCTTGCTTCACTTCATGTTGGGCAGTGCAGGATGGTGAAGGGCAGCCCTTGGACAGGTTCAAATGTGATCTGCCGCTGGTGTCAGCCATGTCCAGGTGTTAAACTTTGTCTTTTTACTGAGGTGTATCTTTCTTGAATAAATTAGCAACTAATTACAATCATTGTCCTTGGTGCCGATCACTCTCGGTTAGATTCCTTCACCTCCCTTCACCATCGCCAGCAGGTTCAGCTACAAGGTCCCCCCTTCTCCTGCCTGCACCACCACCGGGCCTCTACTCTCAGCTGTCCCCCGTATCTCTCCTCGCCGCTGTCGCACAGCGCTACAGCTCACAATGGAACTCTCATCCTCCTCCACAACGGCAGCGCAACTCCCGAGTTCCTGCTCTCTACACATGGAGACCGCTTAGGCGTTAATTCTAGATTTGAAGCTTTCGTGACTGCAAGGATTCATATTCTTAGGTTTTTTCGGTAAAGTCACATAGGTACAAAATTAAAATTACTTTCATTAATTTTAATTTTAATAGATTTTTTATTTTTATTTTACTTTTATTAATTTTTATTTTTTACCTACGTGACTTTACCGAAAAACATAAGAATACGCTTAGGCGTTATTTATCCACGCTAGTCCCCTCAGTCTGGAACGTGGCCATCATCCCTATCCACTCAATCCACACCGACTTTCAAGAGACATGCCTGGCTTTCGAGTGGCTCCACACCTCTGAGTCGTGGTCATTTATTTCCGTGAAATATTGTGTGCTTTGTAAATCGCATTATTTATTATTATTGGGGTGTGAGGCAGTGATGGGTATTATTACAAGACCAGACAATGTTTTTGGTGAGTTGTAACATGTTTGTATTTTCAAAGGTAAAGATCATGTTTTTTCTTAAATCAAATGTTTATCCTGGGTTTGACCCTATCCATCAACAACAAAACACACGATGATCCATTATTGAACCCTATCATCCATTGGCATTTCATGCTTGTGGGCATTCTACTGGCGTTTTGCACTGAAACAGAAGTGCCAACCAGTAATGTCTGGGAAGAAAGCTACATTCAGATTTATGTCTGGATCACTTGGATAATTCTCACAGCTCAAGCATTGGAGTCTTGCTCCTCCCGTTTGGTGGTGGCCCTGAGCCAATGGGGAACATTCCATGTTTTTTTGGTGATGGCCGGGCTCAGCTGGGGGACGTTAATTCAATTAATATCGATGTAAAGATGGGAAGTGTGCAAAAGCAAAATGTGTTAATCAATGTGTTATAGCTGCTTTGACATCTCGATCAGAAACATGAACATTGACAAAGAATACGGAATAAAACGCTTAAAAGTGAGGAAATAAGAATGGAGAGATGTGTGCATGGGTTTACACCGAGCGATAGAAAACACACTCAGCTTAAATGACCCAAGTGACTGCCAAAAACATTAAACGCCATCCCTAGACCCATTCCCAGAAGGCACGATCGCCAGTGGGAGAGAAGAGTGGCTGAGCAGGGAATGTTCCTGAGAGGACGTCCACCGTGGAGATGGAGCCATGAGCTTGACTTGTGTGCAGGTGCTGGGTGGAGCGCTGCAATATGGGACTGTGAGGGGTGGTGATGGCTTCGGGAGGTCTTCTTCTAGCATCGGATTGATCATGGTTGCTGCTGATGATAATGATGAAGATGACATTCAAACTTTCAACCGCTGCTGGTATTTTTTGGAATAATCAAAGACAAAAGAATGAATGGGTATCATGTCCATTCCAGGATTCACGTTGATCCTCCCTCATCTATAATCGCTACCAAAGCCAATTGCTGCACTGGCTGTGTTAACATCGTTGGGGCTTGGACAGCATTAGCAGTGGGTGAACAAAGGGGGTTGGTTTCACCAGCCATGTTATCTTGTGTGCGTTTATAAGCCATGCACTATGCAATCGTTATTTTGCACTTTAGGTTGTCAAAAGCAGTTGTAGATTATTGCCGAATGCTAAAACTGTTGTTTTCTGAAATCTGCAAGTTTTTTCCATTAGAATTAAATTGAATGCATTTTGTTTAACTAGGTGACAGACCATTACATTTCATTAGCTCTGCTCTGCGGAAGACATCGACTATTATAGATAAAAAAAAACATGTTTTCCATTTTTACAACCTGCAGGTAATATGCAGCGTTTAAATATGAATTTCAGACTAAAGCACAAACACACAATGGCTCACTCCCATGAATATAGTTCCACAATGGTATTTGGAAACTGTTGACAGAAATTAATGGGCTTCTGTGAAACTTAATCCTTTCACTATTTAAAGTACCTCAGTGCCATGTGAGATAACTACATTGGTCTTCAGCGACTGTTAATTTAGTCGGGTGCCACGGTAGACTGACGTGGGAATTGCTCCCCTCTCCTCACCCTATCAAAAGTGGAGTTACTCACCACACCGATATGACCCTGGGAGTCAGTGCCCATACCACAAAGGGCTTCATTAAAAGATCCTATTTACTGCATCAGACCAACACTAATGATCTGTACATTGCAACTTCAGAAGTAAACGGAATGTATGGTATAAGAGGGCACAAAACACTCTCATCGGTCGACTTAGCCCACCATTTCTCCAAAGACAATAAAATTCGCACCACTTTTCTGAAAATCAAGTCACAACAGTTATTGTTTTATGGAGAGACTGGTCTTGTCATTTTAATGAAGAATCTCCACTACTTCTGCCACAGGGCCACCAACAAAGAAAGGTACCACCCCTTGATCGTTTCAGTGGACACACTTTTTTTAATCAATTACTGTCCATCCGCTGCAGGATGACAGCCTCCCCAAACTTTGTTTTAGTCTTCACCAGAAATTGAACTCGCAGGGTTCATAGGTCACAGGGTTCATAGCACGGTTCACACTCACCTTTATGTATATATGTGTGTATATGTGTCTAATAAGAATACATATATTTGCACAAATAATGTCCACCAATATTTCTTCATAAAATGTGTTTCATATCCATTCTGGATTGCCAGAATGCCTGTGCCTGTCCAGGATCCCAACACAATCATACACCATGGAGTGTGTGCGCAAACCCTGTTCAAAGCATGACTGCATGCCCTCTATTTTAGGTGCTGGATTTGGAATTGTGGCACCAATTCAAATCACATTTGGAACTAAAATACCAAGCGTGAATATGAGTGGGTTTTCACACTTGCTGATAACTCCAGCCACATTAAAGTGGGTCCCACTCTCTGTATATTACCTGTCTTGCTCTCTGCTTTTTACATTTCCTATCTTGACTTAAAGGTTTCGTGACTGCAGGAATTAATATTCTTTGGGTCTAATGATATATATATATTTTCACCTGATGACGATTGCTTGTGTTGCGATCGAAACGTCGTGATATTTTTATTATTTTTCTATCTACATGGCTTTACCGAAAGACCCAAAGAATATACATTTCCTTTGTTTTAACCTTTCGTACGGTTACGTGGAATAAATGTTTTTGTTTTATTACTTTTTTACAGATTTCTCCATAAATACTGGCATGACCCTAAGTTGGCAGCTGACAATGGGAGCCACTGCACTTTTCTGAGTACAGAGCCATAACCTCTGACCTCCTGAGTTTTAAACCGTACAGCCTCAGTGAATTAACCACTTTCTCAAGTGTAGTGAGTGAGCTGATGGTCTCAGCTTGGGCATCAATTAACTGCTTTTTGTGTTTAGTTTGTTATCCTTCCCCCGCACCTCCGATAATCATGGTTGGCTACGTACGATGCAAAAGAAGTTCAACATACGAACATATACATACATACATATCAATAGCAATACTAACCATTTGCCACAAAGTGACGGTGATGTCACCACGGCACCTGTGCCAGACCAGATGCATTTTTACACATACATACATACAGACATACAGACAACAACAACCGCCATTCGCCACTAAGTGGCGGTGACGTCACCATGACGCTTGTGCCAGGCTATGTGCACCTTGAGGCCACGTGAAGTGTCGAACGCCCACTGGCAGGAGGTCACGGGGCAGACCCACGTGCCGACTGACCGAGATGACTGGCTGATGCACCACCTGTGGCCCCTACTGTGCCAACTTGCTGTGCTTTAGCCACCCGGCGCTCTGCTCATTGTTGTGAGCGTCGCTCCTCCGCCCTCCGTTGTTGTTGGAGGGCGATTGCCTCCAACTGCCCAGCAGCGTCTTTCACGAGCCTCCTCCACAGAGGCCGATCTTGACACCGCTGGTACCAGTCATCAGCAAGTCCACTCAACTCCACATCCTCCTGTACCACATCACTCCATCTCTTCTCTAGCCCATACCGCGCCATTTTAGCCCCCTCTATCCTGCTGAACAAAAGCTGTTTAGGCATGCAGTGACTGGGCATGCGGGCTACATGACCCAGCCAATGCAGCCTTGCCTGCCGGAGGAGCTCACCGATGGGACTTTGCCCAGATCTTTCAAGGATTTGTGAGCTCCTCACACAATCCAGCCTGGTTAAACCCAGGATGGATCGTAGGCAGGCCAGCCTAAATGTTTCCAATCGGCGAAGATGCTCCATTAGGGAGAGTTCATATTTCTCAAGCATAGAGAAGGGAGGGAATGACCGTGGCCGAGAAAACTTTAAGCTTCCTGTGGAGCGACAGACCAAATAGCTTCCACACAGCGTTACGCAACCGACGAAAATATAGTGCCGCTCAACTGATTTTGAGTGAGACCTCTGCTGTCAAACCGGAGCCGGTCATGAGCACACTGCCCAGGTATGGGAAACTCTCCACTCTCTCTGCAACTGCCCCATCACCAATTGGGAGTTGTGGGAGTGGAGTGCCCGATGGTGCTTAGTTTTGGTGGTGCTGATGGTAAGGCCCCACCTCTTAGTGGCACGCTCCAGTTTCAGCAGCAGCGCCTCCAACTCCTCCTCTGAGTGAGCGGCAATTACCAGATCATCGGTATACAAAACGTGATTGACCAATAGGGAGCCATCCCTTGACCGCATCCGGGCATTAATCAGCCTCACATTGTATCTGTAATAGATGTAAATTCGTCTGGTACAGCTATCAAAGGCTTCACGAACTACGTGGTCGAAAAAGATGTTAAATAATGTGGGAGCCAGAGGACATCGCTGTCGCACATACATACAGATACACATACATACACATACATGCACTTTATAGAAACATACAAAGACAAAGATCCCCTGTATAGCCTGACCAGACTGTTGGGGCAAGTGCTGTTAGCGAGCACCTCTAAAAGCCAGCACGACACATAAGGGGGTGGATGGCCAACACCACACCCGGCCGCCTTTGTCTCCCCAGTGGTGATGTTTACACACTACACCTGGTACTAATTTGAGGCTGAGTCGACCTAGGGGAGACTCATGACCGGTTAAGCGTAAGCGCGCTAACCACTACACTACCGCTCTCCATACACATGCATAGATATACACATACATACAAAAGACACACATACATACGGACACACATACAGATACACATACGTACATAAACATAAAATAAATGACTGCACAAAAACCCATCGCGTGAAATTTGGGTTTCAGCCACTACCTTTGCACTGCTCCACTTTAGAATTCCCTCCCTTAGTCCCTTCTCTCACGTCCTTATAACATTCTTATAAACGCGACCGTGCTCTTAGTTGCTGGCCGCGTTGCGTTCTGTCCCTGTGCGTGCGTGGGAGGGTGGGCCCTCTCACCGGTGGGGTGTCCCGTGCCGTTGTCGCAGGGAGACGAGTGGTGTTGCTGTGGCCGAGAGGCGCGATGCCCGTGGGGGTGCGAGTGGTGGGACGCCGAGTGGCTGGCTTGGTGGTTGCGGTGCACGCGCCGACTGTGCCCAGCGGCACTCTCCCCTGCCACTCTCACTGCCGGGGAAGAAGACATCCATGTTACTCTACATGTACATTGATGAAGACATCCATGTCACTCTACACGTACATGGAAGACATCCATGACATGTTATTGAAGACATCCATGTCACTCTACATGTACATTGAAGACATCCATGTCACTCTACATGTACATTGATGAAGACATCCATGTCACTCTACATGTACATTGAAGAAGACATCCATGTTACTCTACATGTACATTGATGACATCCATGTTACTCCACATGTACGTTGATGAAGACATCCATGTCACTCTACATGTACATTGAAGAAGACACCCATGTTACTCTACATGTACATTGATGACATCCATGTTACTCTACATGTACATTGATGAAGACATCCATGTCACTCTACATGTACATTGATGAAGACACCCATGTTACTCCACATGTACGTTGATGAAGACATCCATGTCACTCTACATGTACATTGAAGAAGACACCCATGTTACTCTACATGTACATTGATGACATCCATGTTACTCTACATGTACATTGATGACATCCATGTTACTCTACATGTACATTGATGAAGACACCCATGTTACTCCACATGTACGTTGATGAAGACATCCATGTCACTCTACATGTACATTGATGAAGACACCCATGTTACTCTACATGTACATTGATGAAGACACCCATGTTACTCTACATGTACATTGATGAAGACATCCATGTTACTCCACATGTACGTTGATGAAGACATCCATGTTACTCTACATGTACATTGATGAAGACATCCATGTTACTCTACATGTACATTGATGAAGACACCCATGTTACTCCACATGTACATTGATGAAGACATCCATGTTACTCTACATGTACATTGATGAAGACATCCATGTCACTCTACATGTACATTGATGAAGACATCCATGTTACTCTACATGTACGTTGATGAAGACACCCATGTTACTCCACATGTAGATTGATGAAGACATCCATGTTACTCCACATGTACATTGATGAAGACATCCATGTTACTCTACATGTACATTGATGAAGACACCCATGTTACTCCACATGTACATTGATGAAGACATCCATGTTACTCTACATGTACATTGATGAAGACATCCATGTCACTCTATATGTGTATTGATGAAGACATCCATGTTACTCTACATGTACGTTGATGAAGACATCCATGTTACTCTACATGTACATTGATGAAGACATCCATGTTACTCTACATGTACATTGATGAAGACATCCATGTCACTCTATATGTGTATTGATGAAGACACCCATGTTACTCTACATGTACATTGATGAAGACACCCATGTTACTCTACATGTACGTTGATGAAGACATCCATGTTACTCTACATGTACATTGATGAAGACATCCATGTTACTCTACATGTACGTTGATGAAGACACCCATGTTACTCTACATGTACATTGATGAAGACACCCATGTTACTCCACATGTACATTGATGAAGACATCCATGTTACTCTACATGTACATTGATGAAGACATCCATGTCACTCTATATGTGTATTGATGAAGACATCCATGTCACTCTACATGTACATTGATGAAGACATCCATGTTACTCTACATGTACATTGATGAAGACACCCATGTTACTCCACATGTACATTGATGAAGACATCCATGTTACTCTACATGTACATTGATGAAGACATCCATGTCACTCTATATGTACATTGATGAAGACACCCATGTTACTCTACATGTACATTGATGAAGACATCCATGTCACTCTACATGTACATTGATGAAGACATCCATGTTACTCTACATGTACATTGATGAAGACACCCATGTTACTCCACATGTACATTGATGAAGACATCCATGTTACTCTACATGTACATTGATGACATCCATGTCACTCTATATGTGTATTGATGAAGACATCCATGTCACTCTACATGTACATTGATGAAGACATCCATGTCACTCTATATGTGTATTGATGAAGACACCCATGTTACTCTACATGTACGTTGATGAAGACACCCATGTTACTCTACATGTATATTGATGAAGACATCCATGTCACTCTACATGTATATTGATGAAGACATCCATGTTACTCTACATGTACATTGATGAAGACACCCATGTTACTCTACATGTATATTGATGAAGACATCCATGTTACTCTACATGTACATTGATGAAGACACCCATGTTACTCTATATGTAGATTGATGAAGACACCCATGTTACTCTACATGTACATTGAAGAAGACACCCATGTTACTCTACATGTACATTGATGAAGACACCCATGTTACTCTACATGTACATTGAAGAAGACACCCATGTTACTCTACATGTATATTGATGAAGACATCCATGTCACTCTACATGTACATTGATGAAGACATCCATGTTACTCTACATGTACATTGATGATGACATCCAGTTACTCTACATGTATATTGATGAAGACACCCATGTTACTCTACATGTAGATTGATGAAGACACCCATGTTACTCTACATGTACATTGATGAAGACACCCATGTTACTCTACATGTATATTGATGAAGACATCCATGTCACTCTACATGTACATTGATGAAGACATCCATGTTACTCTACATGTACATTGATGATGACATCCAGTTACTCTACATGTACATTGATGAAGACATCCATGTTACTCTACATGTACATTGATGATGACATCCAGTTACTCTACATGTATATTGATGAAGACACCCATGTTACTCTACATGTAGATTGATGAAGACACCCATGTTACTCTACATGTACATTGATGAAGACATCCATGTCACTCTACATGTATATTGATGAAGACACCCATGTTACTCTACATGTACATTGATGAAGACACCCATGTTACTCTACATGTACATTGATGAAGACATCCATGTCACTCTACATGTACATTGATGAAGACACCCATGTTACTCTACATGTACATTGATGATGACATCCATGTCACTCTACATGTACATTGATGATGACATCCATGTCACTCTACATGTACATTGATGAAGACACCCATGTCACTCTACATGTACATTGATGAAGACATCCATGTCACTCTACATGTACATTGATGAAGACATCCATGTCACTCTACATGTACATTGATGAAGACACCCATGTTACTCTACATGTACATTGATGAAGACACCCATGTCACTCTACATGTACATTGATGAAGACATCCATGTCACTCTACATGTACATTGATTAAGACACCCATGTTACTCTACATGTACATTGATGAAGACACCCATGTCACTCTACATGTACATTGATGAAGACATCCATGTCACTCTACATGTACATTGATTAAGACACCCATGTCACTCTACATGTATATTGATGAAGACACCCATGTTACTCTACATGTACATTGATGAAGACACCCATGTCACTCTACATGTACATTGATGAAGACATCCATGTCACTCTACATGTACATTGATTAAGACACCCATGTTACTCTACATGTATATTGATGAAGACACCCATGTTACTCTACATGTACATTGAAGAAGACATCCATGTCACTCTACATGTACATTGATGAACACATCCATGTCACTCTACATGTACATTGATGAAGACACCCATGTTACTCTACATGTACATTGATGAAGACATCCATGTCACTCTACATGTACATTGATGAAGACATCCATGTCACTCTACATGTACATTGATTAAGACACCCATGTTACTCTACATGTACATTGATGACATCCATGTCACTCTACATGTACATTGATGAAGACATCCATGTTACTCTACATGTACATTGATGACATCCATGTTACTCTACATGTACATTGATGAAGACACCCATGTTACTCTACATGTACATTGATGACATCCATGTCACTCTACATGTACGTTGATGAAGACGCCCATGTTACTCTACATGTACATTGATGACATCCATGTCACTCTACATGTACGTTGATAAAGACACCCATGTTACTCTACATGTACATTGATGACATCCATGTCACTCTACATGTACATTGATGAAGACATCCATGTTACTCTACATGTACATTGATGAAGACATCCATGTTACTCTACATGTACATTGATGACATCCATGTCACTATACATGTACATTGATGAAGACACCCATGTTACTCTACACGTACATTGATGACACCCATGTTACTCTACATGTACATTGAAGAACGCCATTAATTATGGACCCAACAGTAAACCACTGGAGTCTGCGCTCTTTCAACAGAGGAAGAGAAAAACGACTCAAACTCTCTCCTAAAGCCCTCTCGTTTGGGCGAGCAGACCTCAACATTGGCACTTAGCTTCTGAACATATCGCAGTGTGCAAGAGTGGAATAATAATTATATTCTAACTTTATATATCTAAGTTAAAATTACGTATTATTGTTATTTGGTTATTTCGGTGAAGTCACGTAAATAGAAAAATAATAATAATAAAAAATAAAGTGAATTAAAAAAATCACTCATGTAGACTGTAGCCTGGTTATTAAGCTGGGTGAGTCTACTGGCAGTCTATAATGTAGACTGTAGCCTGATTCGAACCTGAATAACATAAAATAAAAACAAAAACCACGAAGTTTCGATCACAACACAAGTAGTCGTCATCAGGAATAAATAATATTTAAAAATACTTTTTTTAAAACACGCTTTAATGAAAAGTACCGTACGAGTAATGGCAGAACTCCACGACTCCAGGAAGTGGCCCCGAGGCTTGCCACAACGTCAGGGGCCGTGGCCAATTACAGCCAACGTCAGTTGAGCGTGGACAATTAGACCCAAGCCGAAACATAACATATAATAAAGAATGTAAAACAATTTATTTTTTAATTTTTAATGACAAAATATAGTATTGTTATCAGTATGACATGAGTATACCAACTTTGCAGTCGATGCCACATTGGGAAGTGGGTTAAAATTTTGTTACAAGATTTGAGGATACAACAACAGACAGAGTGAGTTAAAT